GAGGAACTGGTATTTTTCATTTCGCATGATGTGACCTAGATACGCCGTTTTCCTTTTCTTGATGGTTTCGAAAAGTTGGCGTTCTTGGTTTATTCTTTTAAGGACATCTATATTTGTGATTTTCGCTGTCCATGGTATTTTTAGGATACGGCGATAAAGCCACATTTCGAAAGCTTCTAATCTGTTTATATCCCTCGTTTTGAGTGTCCAGCCCTCTACGCCATATAGCAGCACTGACCATACGTAGCACTTAGTAAACCTTAGTCTCAGTTGAAGATCGAACTCTGAACAAGTCAGTACCTTCTTGAATTTTACGAAAGCTTGTCGAGCTTGCTCAATGCGACATTTTACTTCCCTGTCCGATGCCCAGTCTTCAAAAAGCCACGATCCCAGGTATTTAAATTTACTCACTCTTTCAATGGACTTAGTATTCAGTGTTATGGTGGAGTTTTCAAGTGCATCTAAGTTTCTGGAGATGATCATAAATTTGGTCTTTTTGGTATTAATCTCTAATCCCATTCGCTTACTGTATTCTCCGATTATAGTGACAAGTTGTTGAAGATCGACTATGTTGTCACAAATTAAGACACCATCATCAGCATATCGTATGTTGTTGATCAATACTCCATTCACCTTGATTCCCATCTCTGCATCCTCCAAAGACTCTTGAAATATGGCTTCCGAATAAATGTTAAATAAAAGAGGGGAAAGCACACATCCCTGTCGAACGCCTCTTCTTATATGTATGGGTTTGGATATAGAATTGTCTATTTTTAACTGTGCCGTTTGATGCCAGTACAAGTTTTCAATGCATCTTATGTCTTTTTGGTCTATATCAACTTTCTTGAGAATCTGCATTAACTTGTGGTGTTGGACACGATCAAACGCTTTTTGGTAATCTAAAAAGCATAGGAACACATCCTTCCTCTGATCGTAACAATTTTGGACCAGCACCTGTGTTGCTACTATTGCTTCTCGTGTTCCTAAACCTTGCCTAAACCCGAACTGGGAATCACTGATGTCCCATTCACATTTTTTGTATAATCTTTGATGTAGTATTTTTAAGAATATCTTTAAAGTGTGACTCATCAGGCTAATGAGTCTGTGATCCTCACATCTTTTTGCATTGACTTTCTTGGGCAGGGGAATAAAGGTAGAGCGTAACCTCTGTTGAGGATAGCAGCCAGTTTCATAAATTAAATTAAATATTTTGTGTAGTGCTGAAATTCCCCTGTCATCCTGTAGCCTTGCCGCCTGTAGTCGGAGCTAATAATTTTTTATCTTTTTCTCGTATATAAAAGCTGTAAAGATACGTCGCAGTATAAAAATTACTTCTCTTGTTATTTTGAGCACTCTACTAAATGTCTGCTTAAAAAATATCCAACCATTTTATACAAAAACATACTTATTTTGTGTGATGTGAAGGTAAATTTTAAATAATGTCGATATAATTGTTTTTCGTACATTCAGTATATACAGTCATCGAAACAATGGTAATTTGGATTGGCTGCGAAATTCATTAGTTATAAAACGTTTTGGTAGTGTAGTCACACAAATGTAAAAATAGAAGAGTAAGTAAACTTCTTAATTACAACGGAGAGGTAATCGTCGACAAAGAGAGTATTGATAATACCTGGAAAAATTACATACGAAATTTATTTTTTGATGAGAGGAAAAACCATTCCCCAATACCTTCATATAAAAGTGTCATCATCATATTCACAGCTTGAACAAACTTCATGTGCCCAGCCACCATATTTGCAGCATCGAATCCAACCTTCCTGATCGAAAGAGTTTTTGTACATCTCGTTGCAAAAAATTCAAGCTTCTTCGTCTTCTTCTTCCTCGTCTTCGTTAGAGCGCGTATTAGAATCTTCAGCCTGACACTTTTTATTTTTACGCTTATTTTGGATAGACAAACCATTGTTTTGTTTCATTTTCTTGGGCTGTAGCAGGACTGGTTCTCTAATCTTTCTTTTCTTTAATAGATTATCACTGGAAGTCGCAGATTTTTTATTTTTGTTGAAAAGGTCTTTTTTGTGTTTATCTTCTTGTTTCTCTTGGCGCCCCTGTTCTTCGGCCTCTAGTTCAGACTTGTATGGTGACGATGTTATTATGACAGTTTTACCATTCCTCTTGGTACTATTTCTTTTGGTGACGTAGACCCACCTCTTGAAGTAGAGGGCTAAGGAGAAATTTCTTTATAAGGCTCAGGAGAAGCGTCGTTAGAAGGCACAGTTCCACTTGAAAAAGTATAATGTTTTGTTCTAGTGTTTATGGTGTTGGCAATAGTGGCGCATGATATCTGCTGCTCAGAATTGTGGTTTGGTTGTTCTGTGGTATCTGACGGGGCAAACAGGTAATCAGGGAATGCATCTCTATTGAAAGGATATATTCCGGTTTTTGCAAATCCCTTCACTGCGGTTTGAATCTTAGCTGCTCTTGAAAAAGCAGCATTGGCTAGCAATCCAATTTAGTAAATTGTAACACCCCTGCAAGAGAGATTAAGCAACCATTTTTTAACCTCTTGTGCATAAAATGTACTAAATGGTATCATAAATGAGACATTGAGCGGTTGTAATAGATGTGTGGTGTTTGGTGGAAAACACAATAATATAACGTTATTTTCCCGAGCAAGATGAAGGAGTCCTAAACTTTTGGTATGGGAACTGTGACCATCAAGAATAAGCAGCACTGGTTTTTAGAAACTGGAGATTAGAAAACTCAATAAACTTTTTAAACCATAGAATAAAGTTTTCTGTGGTAATCTAACCAGTCTTATAATGCACTGCAGATGACCCTGGTGGGGCACCAACCATTAAGAGCGGATTTGCTTTCTTACGGGGAAATACAAACATCCCTGGCATAAAATTCCCTGCAGCATTCACACAGGTTTCTAAGGTCACCAGGACACCTCGTTCTGCTGAGGACAAACAACCCACTTGCTTTTTACCATGCCGAGCAAGTAAATTCACGTATTGTTTATTAAACATTGAACTGGATCACGTAATGTTTTTCTTCTTCTTCTTTTTTATAAGCAAAATGCTTGTTCAATGTCGATTAATGCCTCTATTGGAGGTTATCACTCCATCTTTTGCGTGGTCGCCCGATACTTCTTCTACCTTTTGGTGATTTGTCCCTCGCTATTCTGACTAATCGGGTCTCTTCCATTCTGTTTATGTGTTCGGTCCATTCCTTTTTTCTGTTCAGTGTCCACTCATTTATTTCTGGTATATTGCATTTTCTTCTGATCTCTTCACTCCTCATTCGATCCCTCAGTGTGTTTCCTGTAATTCTCCTCAGTAAACGCATCTCCGCTGTTTCTAGTAGTTGCTGAGTTTTGGAGGTATCCGGTCTTGTCTCTGAAGTGTATGTCATTATTGGTCTTATTGTTGCTTTGTAGATTCTTGATTTCACGTCGGTATTAATGTGGGGATTGCGCCATATCGTGTTATTAAGACAACCTGCTATTTTATTAGCTTTTTGTACTTGATTTTTCACTTCCTTCTCCACATCTCCGTAGCTAGACAGTGTAATTCCTAGGTAATTTGTCTCCATTACTTGCTCAATGCTGATACCGTCGATTTCCAGTTTACATCTAATTGGTTCTTTACTGATTACAATTGTTTTAGTTTTCTGTGTAGAGATCACCATATTAAAGTCCTTTTCCCTTGTGTTGAATCTATGGGTTAGTCTTTATAGATCGTCTTTATTGGATGCAATTAGGGCCGCATCATCTGCATCTGCTGCATGCTGCATCTGCATGCAGCAGATGATGCATGCATTGCATCATCTGCAAACGTAATGTTTTTGGCTAATACAATGCATACTTCCAAGCTGCTATTTTAATAATTATAATAATTAGATTAAATTTTCATTAAATTTTTGTTTAAAGAAAACAAAAATTATAAATAATAAGTTAGATTGTTTTATGTTGTGCGGTACTGTCTAAACTACCAAACGACAACAGTTTTATTTCACAGCCAACTCTAATTACGATAGTATTACGATTAGAACTACGATAACTTACTTAGTAACTTACTAATTACGATAGAACTACGAAGTAGTTCTTTTATTATTCGACCATAGATCACAACACCAATGCGTTTTAAAAAAACTTAAAAGATTCTTCTGTGACAAGAAAGTTTGTGACAGGATTTCATCGTTTAAAATTTACCTCCACCTCGCCATATCGTTTGACATACGAAACTTTGAAACAAAAAACGACAGCCATATGGATATTTTTAAATATTTTTCTGAACAGTTGTGATTTAGGTTAAGTATACTGTAACTGGTAGTTTTAAGTTCTCGAATGCAACTAGATGTGTATATGTTATTTATTTTATAGATGTCTAAGATAGATTTTACGAAAAAAAAATGTATATTTAGTAAAGAACATTATTGATGTTTATATAAAATGCTTATATGGTAAAATGTCATTTGGAAAAATGTTCGGTTTACGCCATTTTAAAGAGTTTAACTTGCACTTTGTGTCGATTTCGTGAGATCCAATACACGAAACTGAACGGCAACACCGCAGTTCCATTACTTTTGTTTATAGATGAAATTTCCGCGAATAATTTTCTTTCGTATGACGAGTCTATGGATTTTTGGCAGTTTTTTATATGATGACTCATAGGAACATTGTTGTACCATAATTTTAACTTGTGCTGCAAGTTTCTCTTGTTAAAATGTCGAATATTTTTCTAAGGTTGATCACCCGCTTACATGCTGCCTTAATGTATTTGTAAATATCGAATATTTAAACTAAATCTGTCAATAAGTGTTCAAAATGTGGGATGATGGAGCAAATATAACTGTACAATTTTTAAAGACTGTTAATTATTTAAATGGTATTACTCAATAATCTCGAAATTATTTATACCTGATAGTTGTATAAAAAATAAATCTATTGCAATCAAGATTTGGTTTGTTTTCTTTTTAACGATCTAAAGAGCGAAATCCAGCAGCAGAGATCGAAGGAATGAGGCTGAGTATTTAGGTAAGATATATTTTAAATAAAAAAATACAGTTTGTTTGCACTTTACAGAAGCACTGAGTACACATAACATTTAGTGAGCCTTATTTTTGTTTCTAGGGTGAGGTCATGGCTCTTGAACACAGAACTCATAGTCCAGAATGCACTTTTGGCCTTTCCGATGCGACATTTAATCTCTTGGGTATTGTCCCACGACGAGTAGATTAGACGAGGTCAAATGTCAATCTACTTGAAGTATCTACTTATCTATTAAAGAGGTATATACAATAAGCACCCATCATTCTATCAATATCCTACTAGATGTGACGTAGTTTTATCAGCTACCTAACAAACGAAAATTCGGATACTATCAAATTCGGAAAATATCAAATTATGATAAAAAATATATAACACTTTATTTCTGTAATCCATTAATAGTGTTTACAATAATATTAATAGATTCTTCGAGTTGTTCCTTGTTAATAACAAGAGGAGGAGCAAATCTAATGATGTCTTCGTGAGTGTGTTTAGCAATGACACCATTCTCTTTCATTTTCAAACATACATCCCACGCATCAGCTACACCTATAAACAAAACATATTAGATCAAAAGCAATAACTTACAATGCTTATAAGAAGTATTAAAAACTCTATTTCGAAGATATATTACCTTTGTTGATGACTACAGCATTCAAGAGACCTTTTCCTCTAACTTCCGTCGCAATGTCTTTATTTAATTTGCTTTGAAGCTGTTGTCTGAATATCTCTCCCATGTTGAAGGCGTTTTCTGCGATGTTCTCGTCTTCTAAAACTCCTAGGGAAACAATTGCTACTCTAGAACCGAGAGGGTTGCCTCCGAAGGTGGATCCATGCGTACCTAAAACGTAAGGAAGATTAATTAGTCTGTTTGAGGTGTATGTAGTTACAAAATAACAAGATGGTGCGCTTATACTACGCGTGAGTTAGATTCGTGCAACTGATAGTTCTTTATAGAAGTTTTTTTAACATAAGATCTATCTGGTTTCGAACAATATTCTCAGATGCCAAAGTTGGAGATTTTCAAATATATAGGCAACTTAGTAGCAGCTTTGGAAGGTATTGGTGACTATGAGTAATTATTTTCTTCAAAATTGAATTCTATTTTTTGTATTAAGACTTAAGCATCTTCTGAGCCTGTTCCAATCTTGCATTGACATCAGTTCCATTTCAGTGTGGCAATTCGGGAAATTACATCGGTAACTTCTCTTCTTCGTCCTAAGTCTTTGTTTCTAGCTCGATCACGAAGCGATATACTCAGCATTGACCTTTCCATTTTCTTCTGAGCTATTAGCAGCATTTTAGAAGTTGTAGTCAGTTGTAGAATGTCAAAGTTTTGGCTCATCACATGCAACACACGTTGGTCAAATGTTTTACGTTTTAAAGAAATTGATATATCGCTTTTAAAGATGTCTTTGGTGTTCCATAGTTGCCCATGCTATGTTTATTCTTCTTCGTTGTTCGTATGTTTGGTTGTCTCTTGTGATCTTTATTTCGTGTCCAAGTTATATGTATTTTTCGACTAGCTCTACTTGGTTGTCTTCAATATTGATGTTTCTGCTAGGTACTAGGTTTGTCATGAACTGTGTTTTGGAGATGTTTATTTTAAGGCTCACACTGGCACACACCAATTGAAGTTCATGTAGCATTGTACATGAGGTTGTCCGAGAACAAAACTATGTCGTCTGCGAATTTCAAATTTGTTAATCTTCTATCGTCAATGTTCAGGCTTTTCTCTTCCCAGTTAAGTTTTTTGCAAGCATATTCTAGTACTGCGGTAAACAGTCTAGTACTAGGCGATAGGTATCACTCTGTCGGACTCCTCTGCTGATTGGGATATGATCCGTGTTTTTATGTAGTTTCACCGACATAGTTGTGTTCTTGTATATATTGTAAATTAACCTTGTATATCGCTAGTCAATGCGGCATGTTTGTAATGCTTCCAGGATTTTGTCAAATTCTACCGTGTCAAAGACTTTGTCGACTCTACCGTCGATTGTATTCGATAGTCTTTTCTATTACCGTTTTAATGCTGTGTAGGTGATCATTTGTTCCAAATCCGGTGCTTTTGAAGGATCAGTAAGATCACAACGATGTTCCTAAAGAATCTTGAGAAGTGAATTGTTTTTACTATTATGTTAACATGCAAGATCTTACCTGGTTCAATCACCAACATAATATCATCGTTAGCTAAACAAGCTGATACCGGATACACTCCACCTCCCAACGCCTTTCCAAGGACCAGAATATCAGGCTTGACATTTTCGTAATCTACAGCCAGTCTTTTTCCAGTTCTTCCTAAACCAGTTTGGATTTCGTCGGCAATCCAAAGGACGTTGTATTTGGTGCAGAGGTCTCTGACTCCTTTTAAATAGCCTGGAGACGGTACTCTAATACCGGCTTCTCCTTGGATTGGTTCAACCATATAGGCACATACGTTGGGATCTTTTAATTGCTCCTAAAAAGTTAAAAATTATTTGTTCGATAAACATAATAATCAAAACTAGATGAGTTTGTGGGGCAACATGAAAAATGTTCGATTTAGTGATAAAAATATGAGATTTTTATTTAAAAATCCTTTGACTCTTTTTAGTATGCCAATTTAAAAAATCTCTTTGCATTCTTCGGTGCAACAGTCTATTTGTATTATATGTCTATGAATTAAACAAAACATAACCTAACCTAACCTAAAATTTACCTCTAGTGCCTTCAGATCGTCATAAGGTATGATTTTAAAACCAGGCATGAACGGTCCATATCCCTCATAGCTTGTGGGATCTGTGGACGCTGATACTGCTGCCAAAGATCTTCCCCAAAAGTTGTCCTCTGCAAAAATAATTTTGGCTTGATCTTTGGGTATCCCCTTCTTTTTGTATCCCCATTTCCTGGCTAATTTACAGGCAGTATCGTCTGCTTCCACACCTACACAACAAAAGTTAAAGAATACTGTATTCATACATATTTTTTAATGTGGGATTTTTTGTCGTTTTTTAAAGAGTTTCTTTACACTTATTGTAAGAAACAGTAGACTATTGGTCTTAAATACGACACGTTCTACCGCGAACCAAAATTTAACAAAACAAATCTTGTATTTACCTGTATTCATCGGCAGAACCTTGTCGTATCCAAAAAGTTTGGTTAGAACCTCTGCATACTCTCCAAGTTGGTCGGAAAAAAATGCTCTGGATGTGTGGTGAAGTACTGCACTTTGGTCTTGTAAAGCCTTAACTATTTTCGGATGGCAATGACCAAAATTGTTGGCTGAATAACCACTTAAATAATCAAAATATCTTTTTCCTTCGACGTCCCATACAAAAACACCTAAAAGAGATCATATTAGTAGAATAAAATAGAATCTATTTAGTCAATATACAAAAATAGTTTTGTTTTTGACAAGTCAGAGGAATAGTTACAATTTTTACATACATGCATATAAGATTTTTGCGAATTTAAACATTACAAACAGATATTTAATATTAACAATTTCAGAAACGACAAACACACTAAATAAAAATATAAAAACATGAAGTATCATGATAATAGGCAAATACCCTGACCAAACTAGTACTATTGTGTAAAAGCTGTAGGTACTCCGTTTTTTGAATAGAAACAATGTTTCTTTCTTTCTTTCTCCCCTTCCTTTTACCCTATCAGGGTGTCGGATTTGGGCTAGCTATTTTAATTTCCATTTACCCACCTCTTCCATTCTTTTCTGTTTCCTGCCATTATTTTCAATTCCTCGAGTGATTTTTGTTTAAATTTTCCCGCCTCTACTACTTGCTGTATCCATTTTTTTCTTGGTCTGCCTCTTTTTCTTTTTCCGATATTTTTTGCTTCATAAACTTTTTTTGTTATTCTATTGGATTGCATCCTCGTCAGATGCCCATACCAGTTCATTTGTCTCTTTGCTATTTTGTTCATTATCGGTTCCTGGTTGGCCATTCTCCTAATAGTCTCGTTGCTTAATCTATCCCATTTTGTCTTTCCAACTATCCTTCTTAGATGTCTCATCTCCATTGCGTTTATCCTGCTCTTATGTTTTTCCAGAATTGTCCAGTTTTCACTTGCATAGAGCACAGTCGGTATCACTATTGTGTTATATATTTTTATTCTTGTTTCTCGTGTAAGTTCTCTTTTTCCCATTATTGGGGCTAACGCATAGTATAACTTGTTTGATTTCTTTGCTCTATTTGTTATTTCCCAGTCTATTTTTCCATCATTAGTTATTATACTTCCCAGGTATTCGTAAGTTGATACTATTTCCAATTCTGAGTTTTTACATTTTATCTTTATTTGATTATCTTCCTGATCTCCATTGCCGCTGATTATCATTATCTTACTTTTTTTCTCGTTTATCTCCATTTTTAGTTCTTCTATTTGTTCTACCCATATATCCATTAGTTTCTGCATTTTATTCTCGGAATCTGCTATTAGTACTATGTCGTCTGCATACATTAAGGACTCTATTGTTACCGGTTGTAATCTGTGGTAACCTATTATTGTCTGTAGTTGATTGGTTCTGATTCTAGTGTTTCTTAACAATTCGTTCATTACTATTATGAATAGCAAAGGGCTGAGACTATCTCCTTGTTTAATACCTCTCTTCCAATTAAATGCTTCCGATCTTTCCCCTGTTATTTGTACCCTTCCTTTTACCTCTTTGTAAGTACTTTCTATAATTTTTATCAATGCATTAGGTACATTTATTTTTCTCAAGCATTTCCCTATAATATGTCTTTCTATCGTGTCAAATGCTGCTCTTAGGTCTATGAATGCTAATACTAGTTTTTCGCCCGTATCTATGCTTCTTTCTATTAGGTTTCTAATGATATATATGTTGTCATTTGTCTGTCTTCCCGGTCTAAATGCCGTTTGTTCTTCTCCCAATACCATTTCTACTTCTTGTCTCAGTCTCTTCTCTATTATTTTCGTATATATTTTAAAACATACCGATGACAGACATATTGCTCTATAGTTGTCGCAGTTTACATGTTCTCCTTTTTTGTATATTGGCACGATGATATTCTTCTGCCAGTCTTTAGGTATTGTTTGTTTTTCCCACGCCTCTTTATATATTTTCGATAGCCAGTTTATTCCTTCTTCTCCCATGTATTTTACCATTTCCGGTTCAATTTCATCGTCTCCACCTGCCTTGCCTATTTTTATATTTGATAATCCTTCTATTACTTCTTCTCTACTTATTTGCTCTAGCTCTGTGTTTTCTTCGCCTTCATTGTTTATATTGTCTTCATTTATTACTTTTTGAAACAATGTTTCAAAAAGTTTGATTTAATTTTAAGCTTAAACAATAACAAGTGAACAAAACTTTTACTTTATCTGGCCAAAAGTTATACAAACCAACATCAGTCGAATTTTTTATGCTCTTTGTCAACCTAAAACGAACATTTTGAATACTAGTAGTACTTTTGTTATTTTTAATACATCTGGAAAGTCCCTTCAGTAAGACAATTATTATAAAGTATAATTAGTTTGTCAATAATTATATTGATTGTTTTCATAGTTATTGTTTTGTTTAAGAAATAAAAATCAGTGCAGTGTGAATTTTTCAATCTATACAAAACATTCCTGATTTCAGTATCACTAACAGGTAATAAAAATAAAGAGTCGTAAGGAGAGTGTACATCTTTCAAAAAATCTTTGGTTACATTTTCATTTGTGGAATTAAAAGAACTATATTTTCTGAATTGGAAAAGAAATTCTCAGAAGTTAGTTTTTTAATGATATTGTTGATTTATAGTGCTTCTTAAACTTTTTATATCACTATATTCATCCGTAACATAGAATTATCTTGAATGTGGAAAGATTTTCTCGCATTACTATTAGTTCTAGAATTTTACACAACACATACTTTCCTCATAAAGACCAACATAACTACACTTTTAACAATAATCGAGGCCAGCGATCAATAATAGATTTTATAATCACAAATCGAGTGATAACACACAAGTCACAAGTACTTGATGTCAGAGCCCTAACATCTGCTAACCTGGAGACCGATCACAACCTTGTTTTATGCAAGATGCTACAAGAACGTCCGCAACGAAACAGAAAACACCCAATGCTCATCGAAAAACACAATATAGAGTCGCTAGCAATAGAGAGTACACTCTTTATGAGTACAGGATTACCAGTAAACTAAAAGAGATCGAGTTACAACAAAAGAGGCAATTGGAAAGGGGAAAATTAACACGAGGTCGATAAACCACACCAAACCGTGGTTTTGTCAAGGGGTAAAAGAATTCTGTGAATTAAAACACAAATGCTACCTAGATATTAGCTACACTAACAGTAAATACGTTGTATTTGAGAACGATTTCAAGTGGAAATGAAACGTCATAACGTATTTTCTTTAATTGGCTATTCCAGTAAAAGTAATTAATTACAGCCACAGAATAGCTTCACAAGTCCAAGTAAGAAACGAAGTAAACGCAAGAATAAAATCAATCAAAAGAGAACATCTCCATGCTGCTAGGGCAGTGGCTTTAGTTGATGCTGATACAGTCAAAGTCGTATCGCTGGTATACTCGATGTATCCAGAACTACGGTACAAGATGCCATCAGACGATTTCGGGAGACAGGATCGTATAACCGCAGGCCAGGTCAAGGCCGAAAACGATGCACTTCAGTTCGAGATTACCGCTTCATTGTTACTAAAGTATTGAGAAATCGCTTTTACACCGCTCCTGAGAAAGGTTAAGTGTGAGTGTGAGAAACCGAAACAGTGGCTTACCGAGAAGGGGCAATAATGATTTGGGGAGGTATTTCTTACGAAGCGCGTACTGATCTTGTTGTGTTCGGTTGAGGCAGTGTGAATGTCCAAGTACACGTGCAAGAAGTTCTCCAAGACCATGTCATGTCTTTTGCACCATTCATTGGTGATAACTTCAGACTAAAGCATGATAATGCACGTTGCCATACAGCAAGATCTACCCGTGAGTACCTTAATGAGGTCGGTATTCAAGTTCTACCATGGCCAGCACACAGTCCCGATCTTAACCCAAATGAGCATATCTGGGACAACCTTAAAAGACGGGTAAGAGCAAGAGTACCAGCCCTGCATCATTTGAAGAGCTGAAGACAGCTGCGGTAGAGGAGTGTCACAATATCCTACAATCTGATATCCAGGATATCATGAATGGATTGCCAAACCGGCTCCAAGAAGGCCTAAGGGCTAAAGGCGGCAACACCAATTATTGATACCCAATTTTTTTTCAATTAGAGTTTGATTTCCAAAATATTGGTAATTTGAATTTTCTTCGAAGATTTTATTCATTGGATTTTTACTATAACAAATGACTTTTTTTTCAAAAAGATCTCTTTTCTCTTCCGCGGAGATAAAAATTGTTAAAAAACATGTTTGTACACCCGGTATACAATGAAAATTTCTCTGTTTAACAACAATATTATTATAAAGATATTGTCAAGGAATAAGGCTATAACATATTTAAAAAATCACTTAAATCGGACAACAGGTTTAGGAGATATAAGAAATAAAAAATTACCCATTTTTAAGGTGGTCGATTAATTTTTGCCCAGAGTGTATTATTACGTGGGTTAAATTGTTATTTGTAAGCTCTTATATTTTATAATCAGTTACAAACACTTTTAAACAAAAAATCAATTTTATCACGTATCTCTATTAATTTATCTGTACTTACCTTGTCCTTTCGCTAGAGCCACAGGCAGAGGGTGGTAGTTATGGGCCGCATATTTCTCTTCCTTATGAATAACCGTCTCGGTGCTAAAAGCCTTCTTCGACAAATTAATGCAGCTTTTGGCATTTTCTAAAAATCGTGGGGCGTGTCGTGAAGGAATCATTTCTGCATCCAATCAATCAATCGATTTCTGCAACCTAAAGTATTCAATGTCAAGTGACGAGAATTATTGTAGTTCCAGTATTATTTATATCATTGTACAAACACGTATATTTTTAGATAAAACATTGAAAATGATTCTATATTAATAGACCAGGGAAATCAGAATTTGTCAAGATAAATTCATCCAAATTTGGATTCATTCAAACAATTGAAGTAAAAAATTGATATTTTTAGAATTCTTGTTTGTAAGTTAGGTAAGACTTTTATATTTTATTAAACAACTCAAATAAATGGTCATATTTAACTCATGTTTTACATAAGTAATATACATTTCATTAACTGTTTTGTAAATTGCAACAATTATTTTTTTTATATTTTGAACTATATGATAAAACTCCGCCTCCGGTAGGATGTATGAGACTAATGCAACGGAAAAAGAAAATGATATTGGCTACATGGAATGTACAAGGAGTTAGAACCAAACAAGCAGAAATATTCAAAGAATTAACGGAAAGAAAAATAGTTATATGTATTCTCACCGACACCAAGAAAAAGGGAAAAGGAAATGAAGAGATAGGAGAATATATACATATCTACAGTGGAGTAAGTAAACATAACAGAGCTAAGAGAGGAGTCTCTATTGTCATTCGAAAAAATCTTAAAAACAATATTCTATCGTGGACTGAAGTAAATGAACAACTGCTAATACTGTAAATGAGAAAGAATGGGCAGAACATCGTAATTGTCGGAGTGTATGCCCAAATAAAGATGCAGATCCAGAAAGTAAAAACGATTTCTACAACAAGATGAATGAAATACTCTCTGAAGTTAAAGAAAACTGTGAAATCTTTTTATTAGATTTAACGGGCACAGTAGGGAGAGAAGAAAATAACATAGTCGTAGGAAGATACCTATGGGGAACAAATAACCAATGACAACGCAATGACTACGCTCATGCCAGTATTGCCAGTAACTAGCAGAGAATTGTCAGATTTGTTGTGTTGGTGATGAAAATTAATCGTTTTATATTTAAACTGTTAATATAAAAATGTTTCGTTGGGGTAATGATAAAACTATCAAATGTATTGCCATATATAGAGAATTGGAGTATCTATTGAATTCTAAATCATCTCTATATAAAAATAAAATAGCCCGTGACAATGCCTACACAAAAATTCAAGAGAAAATGGTTGAAGGTATTACTATAAATAAAGTATAAAGGCCAGAATAAAAAATTGCTCCAAGATTTTCTTGCATACCAATCCAATTTTTCACCCAAATTTTTCTCTTTTTTTGAGTTCAGCTTCAGATTCATTATTAAATTTCTTACAATATCTTTGGTCATCAGCAATATTTGCTTGTTAAATTCATTCCAAATACCTTCCATGGATCCCTTTTTTGTTGTGAACTCAAAAACTTTTAATTACAAAACAATTACTTTAGTTTCAGAAGAAAACCACTCGATTGTTTACTAGCACTAGCATGTGTAAAAATCTACCCCGCTTTTTCGCTTTGCCAGTACAGGGAAGCAAGCTACTGGCATGCCAATTACTAGCAAATGTGTTTTGTGCTTGCCAGTTACTGACCTATGCCAGCAACTGACATGCTAGCTACTTTCCCAATTTACTGGCATGTGTGTACCCGGCTTAAAGGTAGTGTAATATCAATAACAACGTTTGAATCAAAAACAAGAAGAAGAGAAAGCATACTTCGTTTTGTTCATTTGAATCTTAACGTGTTTTTTAATTTTTATGTAATAAAAACACTTTTTCTACTAATTCATTTGCATAACATTATTAGGCAATAAAATCTGATTTTATGTATATAATATCTATATTACTATAAATTAAAATAAGGTCAAAATCAACAGCGTAAGAAGAAATCGATAGAAAACGATACGAAAAATAAAAAAAAATTAAGAAAGACCGTTAACAAGCAGTTATTTATTTAAATATACTGAAAATGTTGCTCACACTTGTTAATATAAATTACCTCGTTACTTTTCCTTTTTTCCTTAAAAAACTTCACTCACTTTCACGTAGTTACCAAAACGATTGACTTATTTCGTTATTTCTCTATAAAAAAGTTGTTTTTTTCGTCATTAACCTGATAATCCAAACCACTACAAAAATATCATCACGTTTCCTAACAACAGAGGTGCACTCAGCCCGAGTGTAGAAATAATATAAACCATCACAATTAAGAAGCTATAAAAAGATGTCATGATCATTTTCAATATGAAAAAAACGAATAAGGAACGCAGATGGACTATTGGACGATTTAATGCTTGATAGTTGGTGATAAAAAAAGACAAAAATAAATCTCTGATAAAGTATATGAGGCCTGGAAGAAACCAAAGTGTTTGTAGAAGTATTTAGTATTTATTTAGTTATTTTATTTTTAATATTTCTAATATTTTATTATAATACGATCTTATTTAATTGTATATTTTAATTACTAAATTAATTAATAAATTGATATGATTGAATAAAAGCATATGACACAATTCCTGTGAGAAAGCTGTGGCAGTCTCTTGAACGATCTCCATTAAATAGCACGATCATCGCCGCAGTCAAACAATTATACAATAAAGCATCATCAAAAATCAAACTAAACAACACCTTATCAGAAGAATTTCCAGTAACAAAAGGCTTACGACAAGGATGCTGCCTCTCTCCAATACTATTTAAGATCTATTTAAATGAAGCACTAAAACACTGGAGAAGATCCTGTTCAGGAATGGAGATAAAACTTGACGACGATACAACATTATACACTCTACATTTTGCAGACGACCAAGTAGTAGTGGCAACAGACAAGGAAGATTTAGAATTCATGACGAGACGGTTGTTTAAAACATATGAAGAATGGGGCCTCTCAGTAAATAGAAACAAAACGCAATACTTACGCATCGGGAATGAAGTAGAAGACCTAATGGTCAACGAACATGAAACAATCAAGAGCTGTGTGGAATACGAGTTGGGAACAACAATCAACAAGAGTGGGCACACCGAAAAAGAGATAGAGCAAAGAATCGTGAAAGGAAAAAGGGTGATAGGATGCCTAAACCCGATGCTATGGTCAAAAGAACTATCAAATCAAAGAAAGCATCTCCTCTTTAACTCCATCTTTAAAAGTATAGTGCTCTATGGATGCGAAACATGGCAACTTACTAGATCCCTACTTGCATTGGAAATGGACTTCTGGAGAAGATCAGCTAGAAAATCAAGGCTTGATAGAATATAAAATGAGCTTCTTCTTCTTAACGTGCCCTATCAAGTCCCCTTGACGTCGGCGATTAACATGGCGAAACTGTCTCTGCCTCGAGCTATTCTAAATATGACAAAATGACCATATCAGAAATATAATGGGAGTCAAGTAAACCATCATTGACGAAATTTAAAGGAGACAACTAATTTGGTATGGTCATGTGAAAAGAATGGACGACGACAGTCTGTCAAACCAAATTTTAAAATGGACGCCAAGGGAAAGAAGGAAGAGAGGAAGGCCAAAACAATCCTGGCTGGGCGGCATTCAGAAGGCAGTGTCGGAAAGAAACCTTCACCCTGGCGAATGGAATGACCGACGTAGCTGGAAACTGGGAACTGGAAGGCGGAGAACGCTTTAAATTACCGGGATAATAAAAAAAATTAATAAAGTACTAAATTTAGAAAAAGCCATAAAGCCCCAGGCGCAGAAGGCGTACAGGCGGAACTACCAAAAAAAAAAGGCGGAGAAAAGCTCCACCTTGAGATATATTATCTTATAAGAGAAGTCTGGGAAAGAGAAGAAATACCGAAATATTGGCATGAAAGCCATATAGTTCCTATCCACAAGAAGGGAGACAAAAAAATATGTCGGAACTATAGAGGAATATCGTTAATCAATCTAACGTACACAATTATATCCATAATACTGTCTAGAAGACTAACTACAAAAGCAGATTCAGACCGGGAAGGTCAACCATAGACCAAATATTCGTCCTACGCCAGGTGTTGGAAAAAAACTGGGAATTCAACCGCGATGTACACCAAATCTTCGTGGACTTTATACAATCTTACGATTCTGTTAGCAGAGAAGCATTGTGGGAGACCATGGTAGAAATGGGAGTACCTGGAAAGGTGGTACAATTAGCACAGGTGAACACAGAGAACGCTTGGGCAGACACTGAGAACGGATTGACACCGGTCTTAGACAATGAGATCCTCTCGCCCCCCTGCTATTTAATTTTGCACTGCAACATGTGGTAAGGAAAACTCAACCACAACTGACAAACGGATTTGCCGCCCAAGGATCAAAAATACTATTGTGTGATCTACGCAAAATGGGAATACAGCAATGGGAAATAGCTGCTCAGGACCGACAACAATGGAGGGAAATAGTAAACGCCGCCAAGACTCACATATAGAGCCAAATGATGATGATATATGAGACTAAGTGAAAAGTATTACTCTGTACAACTGTGATACACAGCCACTGAAAGATAGAACAATGGCAACGCTGAAAGCAACAGAAATATATATTTGAAGAAAAGCAAGAAAGATCTAGAAGAGAAAGGATTAACAACAAACGCATTAGAGAAATAATGAGAATCAAACAAACGGTCACAGATGAATTTTCAACAAACAACTTATCTGGTTCGGACATATACAAAGAATGGCTAAACAACGAACACCATAAGAAATTCTAATATGGCAACCAGAAGGCAAGAGAAAAACAGGTAGACCGAGAACAAGTCGGAGAGGACGAATAGGCAAAGAAGTGACAGAAAGTTTCATAAAAACAAAAGGGGACCTAAGGAACCACTGGAGGAAGTGGCGATTGGAGTCGGAAAGAGGGCGGAAAACTTTAAGATATACCTGTTAGTTTAGTTATTCAAAAATTGCCTTTACAACTTTGTAATATCTCACTGTTGTCGTTAGTGTTAACCTATTCACCTTTTATTCACAGCTACTATCGTTTTCTTAGTAAAACTGGTTGTTTTATATACAACCTTTATCTTTTTCTTGGTAAAACTAGTTATATATCAACAAAATGGTTATGTTTTGATATAAAAATATAAATAATAAAGATGTATTATTGAATTATCAAATAAGTTTTACTTAATTAGTTTAAATAGTTTTAATAAGAGTGCTAGTCTTGGTTAGACACTACCAGAGCTGTTACAATTTCATCCTTGTGGCCTTCTTTCGAAGGCAAATGAATATTGGCCCATGCAGGTTAATTTTCACTCCTCTTATCCCACGAAAATCTTAGAGGAAAAATTACAAACTATATTATCATTGGCACTGATCATTACAGATAACTTTGTATTTACTTTACTTTCATAAATTTTTATCTCTGGTAAAAATTCAGAAAGAAAGTTTGAATTTCAGCACGTCACGAGAAATGCTTCCATGAAGACAATATTGAGTGGAATTTGAAGCTGAAGTTGTGTAGTTTTGAAAAACGTACTTGTTTAATCGAAAAGAAGAAGTTTTAAACTTTTTAGTATGAGCATTTTTATACTATTTCAAATGCCTTACTTTAGTTGCCTCAAAACAGAAATTTCATGCTCTTGGGTTTAAAGATTATTTATGCAAAATGCAAAAGGCATAGGAAAGCTGCACTTCTCACCTTTCAAACGCATTTTGATTTTGGTCTATAGGACACTCTGATCAAAAGATATTGAATTTTTACCGTCAAGTTGATACAAATTTTATTTAAAATTGATTTCGCGCGCGTAACTGACATTCAAAATCGCCGGTTGCTTCAAGCGTTGTTTCTAAGGAAAACGGTTTATTCTACACAAAAAGTGCCAATGAACATTTTTGATCAAAATTATCTCAGCTACATCTTTTATTTGAAATATTTTTTTCTACATCGTGCAGATTCTTGGTAAATCGATTTTTTCAGTTCTTTCCTTCCTACGAGAGGGGATTTTAGAGGAAAGCCCGGGATAGTAGAAGTGTTAAATTTTTTTATATGTTTTTTGAGGATCCAAAATTGAGATTCTCAGCAAAATTCATCTTGTTCGTATGATTTTTAAAAAAGTCAACCAGCTAGGTGATATTGATTGAGATTGTTCAGCACCATACGTTCAGGAAACGAAGTTTAAAATAGGATAAAACCTTACAAATTTTTCGGAAAAGACCAATTTGCATAAAAATTTGGGATTAAGCTCAACTAACTCCGTACTTACATCAAAATCTAAATTGTGCTGATGGACGCTTTTTATTTGTTAAGGATGAAACCTACTCCTTAGCGCAAAAATCTGCAAAAAAACTTAAAAAGAGTGAAATTTAGTTTCTTAGATTAGATTAGATTCTCTAACTATAATTGTTGACTTTTTTAACCCTTTAAAAATTCATTTTTAAGGGTGAAACTACTCCTAATTGATCAAAGTACTTGGGCAAGATTTAATAAAGAACTATGCTCAGAAATGAAGAACTATCACAAATGGGAAATTAGCAACTTATCACTGTATAAGTTTTTTAAGCTTTGCTTCGAATTTGTGGAGATCATATTCTCAACAATCGAAAATTATATAATAATACGAAGAGCTGATATCAGGAATAAATGGATACGTTTGAGAATTTCCAATATCATACTATGAGAACAAAACTCAACTAGTACTTTTGGAGAAACTTAGCACAAATTATTTTATATTAAAAAAGATGACGTTTTTCATTATTATGTAGATTAACAGTTACATACAATTAAATAATACTAAATCATTATTAATATTGAACGAACTTACCGAATATCTCATCCACTGTGTTCTAGTAGATAGACCTAACAAGACTGACGATATAAGTCACTTAATTCATTGAAGGGGTCATCAATGTCATCAATATACCAAGTTCGATAAAACAATCAATCAGTTGTTATCACTTTAAAGTTAAAAAATGTGAATAACACGTTAAAAAAGTTAATATTAAGATTAGAAGTGTCAGGAAATAATTATGACAAAATTGTACGGGGTAAATAGAAACATCATTACATATAGCTCTTATATAAATAGAAGAAGGTGGGAGGAAGTACTACAGATACAGATCACCTTAATGATTAATCATACTAACTAGCCTTAATGATTAATTAAAAAAATAATATTCCTCTAATGTTTTCTTACATTCTTAGTTTTTGCATTTTAAATAACTTTTAGTTGTTTCCATCTTATTTATTGTTAACGAACGTGCTCAAATATATTTATATTTTAACATGCATACACATTATCAAAAATGTTTATTTTAATGTCAAGTTTATTTATGTGTGAATACTACATTTCTGTAAGTATTGTAAATCTAAGTGTACGTCAGTTTTTTGAAATGTTTGTTTTTTATAGTTACTCCTGATGAAGCTATTAAATAATTGGCGAAATATCAATTTTATAAAAACAACATTTTTTGAGTTGTCTCTTTTTTAGTGAAGGTACTATATAGGTATTGATAGTACCAACCACAGTATAGTTGGAGTAAGGCTAGGCGCATACATATCGAATTTGGACGGTCGATAAAAGTTCGATCGAACTTTTGTCGATGATGCCTTGCGCGCACACTACACGATATTTATTCGATGACGTTTTTTAATCCACAAAGGTTTGTTAGCTGGAGTACACAAAAGCACAATGAGCAACACAGAACCACATAGCAACACGGAGTAACTACGCCTTGGTACCTTGATACTATACGCCTACTAACTTGCCTTGATACTATACGCCTTGGAACGACCACAGCAGCCGTGAATGCAAATGCACATGCAGTGACATTCATCGATCGCCACACGACCATCACACGACATCGATGCCGTGCCGTTTGGCGATCGATGGACGATGTGTGTGCCCGCTCACATTATTTGTTTCTTCGCGCCACTAAAGGAGTTTGTTCGGTCGAACTTTTATCGACCGTCCAAATTCGATGTGTGTGCGCTTAGCGTAAGGAAATGATTTTAAATAAAAACCAGAAACCATAATAACAATTTTAATACCGATAACATTATTAATATAAACATATTTTATAAAAATACACATATAAAAAACATAAAAATGTAAAAAGTATTATTCCTTTGGAATGATATAAAATCAGCAGAATATTTCGTCACCATTTTACTGAATAATAATTTATTAACACCTGGAAATTATCGAAAAAAATCTTAAACTGGCTGAATTTGAAGTACAATACAAGAAGAAAATATCCCTTTCAGTTAATTGTTTAAAACTTTTGTTTATTGAGTTTTTACTTCAATATTGTTAATGGTTCTTACGATAATATCAATAGCTTCCTTCATTTCCGCTTCAGTGATTATTAGAGGTGGTGAAAATCGTATGATATCTTCGTGGGTATGTTTGGCAATTAAACCATTTTCTTTTAACTTCAAACAGACGTCCCAGGCATGTATACAATCTGGAAAGTAACAAAACGTTATTATTGTCACATAGTCATCGAGCAAAAAGACAAAAGAGGGAATGTAAAGGTAGTGGGGACAAAAATATTGTTAGACAGGAAGTGCGATCTTTAGAGGCCACATTAAACAAGGAAAGTGAGTCTCTCTCCTTGTTTGACATCAAATTTAGTTGGGTTATGTTATTGTTTGTCTCAAATGTCACATGAAATCTTATTTATATTGAAGTTTTTTAACAATTGTGTTGGATTTAAGACTATTAACGTTAATAATTAATTAAAACTTTTTTGTCTAAGACACATTCTGAAAAATATTATATAGCTACTGTTAATAAGTGTCGAAAAATTTAAATTTGGCGCCTTCGCATTTCCGGATATGTCCGCCATCAGAGGCCACTTTTTTGGTCTCCTTTTCATAAGGATTAGATTCCCTCTTTTGTCTTTTTGCTCGATGCACATAGTCCAGTCAATATGTTTACAAAAATAGCTTAAGTTGGTTATAGCATCATCAATAAATTATTTCGACAATAATAAAAAAATCGATGTGGATCTTGCTCCCAAATCCATAAAAGTAATAATCGCATATTTTAATACTCGATTAAACTAAACCTTGTTTTTACAGCGGTTGTCAAAAGGTGCGTATGAATTGCGCAAACAATTTGATTATCAGCGCCTCTGTCGGCCGGGTTACAAACCTTTTTTATTCACGTTTAAAAAGGAAGATATCTTCTCCACACATGCCTCTGGAAGAGTTTTTATTGCGAGAATTTGAAAATACCCGATGCAAACGATCATATCTGCTACAAAAACAGATATTAGTAAAATTGTTAGCAATGATTTCAAATAAAAGCTGCTTGAGCAATTAATGAAAAACATTTTTAAGTGTATAAATGAAAAATAGAAAAAAATGTCCATTTGTTGTTTTAATATTTTTTCTGCAACTTTTGCAGCTGAGTATATTCAAACTGTAGTTTTACACACCTTCCTGGTAACATTTCTTCCAAAATATAATGTCCAACTCACTATAACCAATCATTACTAGATTTTTTATGTACTAGAAATACATACAATACAGATTTTATTTGGCATAAACCAAGACATGTTTTATATGGTGTGGTAATAACACTGTATGGTTTAATTGGTATCTCTTACTTCTATTTGTTCTTCTACATCTTTTAGAAGGGCAAAATGAGTAGTAAAAGTAATTGAAGAACTAGATCATTGCCTTGTGATGACCCCAAAACAGAAGTGAAAATTTTGTCGCCGCTAAAATCGATTTAATTTAAGCCGGGAACTGAATAAATTTGATATTAGGTTGAATAACAGCTATTTTTCATAATCGCCATTTAGAGAATCTTGCGGTGTTGCCGGTACAGATGCCGATATCAATCAGGGCTTCCAAACAGTGGACTTAAGTCCCTTTTTCTTTCACGGTAACTAACATTTGGTAAAACGGAGATGAAGATAACACAGATAAGTACATAAAAATAAGGAGAGATGAAACTGAGGACGAAAACGACGACTCTTTTGGGAAAAGTAGAAAACAGGGAGAACGCCAAACAAAAGTCAGCGATAGATTGCAAAAAAAATATTTTTAACAAAGTTTGATCAATGATATGAAACTCGGAACAGATCATAACGAGAATAGAGCTCGCTTAGAAAAGAAAAGAAAAATTAAAGTAAGGAAAGATTTAGCTGACTTGGACAGTTAACTAGAGAATTCCAGAACAACTAACGGAGTCCATAGGGAGTGACAAAAAGAAGAGATTTCCCAAGGAGGAAATGATGGAACCGATGAAATCCGACTTAAGAAGAGTGAAAGTAGAAAAATGGAAACAAAATGTAGAAAATAGAGAGCAATGGGAGAAAATCTTCAAAAGTATAGACTATATTACTACAATAAACTGCTATACTTAATTGGTTTTCATCTTAAAGATCGTAGATATGGTTCTCGAGCATTCGAACTCGCTTAAGAAGCGCGTATCTTTATGCTCAGCTCTAGATGCTAATATAAAAAAACGAATAGCAATCAGACTACTTACTTCTATTAATATCGATAGCGTTCAATAATCCTTTGCCTCTGACATCCATCACAATCGGATTTCCATTGTTCAGCTTTTTCCTTAACTCTACCCTGAACATTTCTCCTAATTTAAAAGCGTTTTCAGCTAAATTTTCATCTTCGAGAACTTCTAGAGCTGTTATAGCTACTTTTGATGCTAACGGATTACCGCCGAAGGTAGAACCATGGGTTCCTAAAATTTAAAAATAAACACGTTATTTTATGAACAGTCTTTTAGTGCGTGTGTTATTCGGTTGACAATACTGTGTTGCGTAACAACAACATTTAATATATTTTTTTCAATTTTGTATCATATCATTATATCACACTGTATATTAGTTTTAAGGTTTAGATTTGTAAAATTCTTTTGTACCATCTAATAATCAGTACGGACGCCGATAGCTTGTATTCAAAAGAACTTTTTAGACATAACTTCTAAAGTTGTCAAAAAATCATAAGAAACGATCATTAGTAATTTCCAAATTATCGGTTTGAGTCATTCGAAAAATCCCAACAGAAAGGTAAGTTGAAAAATAACCTTTTCAGGTAGTTTTACCAATGAAAGGAGAGTTGAAAGTAATGTAAATGTAAACAGATCCATTATATAAGTCGAGGATCAGGGGGCGATTTCTTAATTTTAAGAAACCGTTATGAGCTGAGTGTGATTCAAGGGGCGAGTTGACAGTTGACATCAGTTCAAATCCAGCATTGGATAAGCTCGAAGCTCTTGTTCGCGCTAGCCGCACTTCACAAGTTTTAACACAGTGGGAATATTAATAATTTTACTTAGTTAATGTTTATATTGCATCACCTACAAGTTATCTAGTTTTTTCTGCCAGATGCGGTAATTGTTTAAACAGACTTGCTAGAAAGTTCTTTGCGAAACTTCCACTTGTCCCAGTTTTCTGGGTGGTCCTTCAAAAAAGTATAGAAAGGTAAACTTATTTCTCTAAGGACAAAACTTGTTCCACAAGCGAAAAACCAGCGACCTATGACTGGTGCGCGAAACAAAGGCATCAGGACAAGGTGTAAGGACAAACACACCTGCATCTTCGCACATACTGCTAAAATATCTTACCGTGAAGCCGTTGCGCGAGTAGTTTGAGGATCGAGATCATAATTTCTGTGGTTCCAAAACGATTCTTCAAGAACGGCTGAAGAAAGTCATCATCAACAACGGAGAAAATTCAGAAACACTCGAATTCTAGTCAACTGATGATTAAATCATAAAAAAATCGATGAAAGTTGCAGATATACCAATGGAAGATTCAGAGAAAGTTCTGAAACGATCAATAAGACTTCCAGAAAAACAGACGGAAATTGGAAGAAGTTTCTAGGAAGACTGATGAGAAATTCTAAAATATTTTACAACAATTTAGTAAATGGTTAATTTAGAAGTAAATGTTGTAACAGAAACAATAGAATGAACCAAAAGAGCAACTCATTTTAATGGATATTATCCTATCGTCAACAGTATTATATCCAGTTACGCAGTCGTTCAGTTTAGAGGGTACAATTATTGTCCTCTGCCATTCTACTGATGTGTTCGTTCCACTCCTGTTTCCGTTTTTTCACCCATCCATTTACGTCTTCTATATTACATGCTCTTCTTATGTTTTTGCTTCTCTCCCTATCCAACAGAGTTTTACCTGATATTCGTCTGAGTATTTTCATCTCTGTTGTTTCTAGTAGTCGTCTCGTTTTAGATGTGTAAGGTCTTGTCTCCGCCGTGTATGTTAATATAAGTCTAATTGCTGCTTTATAGATTCTTGTTTTTGTGTCTTGTCTTAGGTGTTTGTTCTTCCAGATTGTGTCATTAAGAGATCCCGCCGCTTTATTTGCTTTTAAGCTTTGTTGTCGTACTTCTTCTTCAACATATCCGTAACTAGTTATATCTATTCCCAGATATCTAAACCTTGCTTCCTGCTTTATTATTTTTCCATCAATTTCGATTTTACATCGTAGTGGGTATTTAGATGTTGTCATACATTTTGTTTTTTTCTGCTGATATTATCATATTGTATTTCTTGGCTGTTGTATTGAAAATGTGTGTTAATCTTTGGAGTTCGTCTTCTGTCTCGGCGATTAATGCGGCATGCGCAAATATTGATTTCTTGTTCCCATTCTGTAGCCGTGACCTTAACGTACTGCTTGTATTATTTCGTCCATTATTATATTAAAGAGAAGTGGGCCCTACTGAGTCACCCTGCCTGACTCCGTTTTGTACTGGTATACACTGTGTTAGTTTTCCATTTACCTTTGCCTGTATTCGATTATGGAAGTAGATGTTTTCGATGGTTTGTATAATATCGATTGGTATGTTTCTTTTATACAGTAGGTGTAAGACGTCTTCGACTTGGATGCTCGGATACTCGACGGCCTTCTCTGTGATTTGTTTTAGTACAAATACGGCGTCTACGCATGATCCGGATCTGGAATTTTGTTGAGAGGACTACAACTTAAGACTAGTTAAAAAAGAGTAAAAGCTGAAGGCCCGTATGTATGTGTTGTATGTATGTATGTATGTGTTGACTACAGACTGTATGGCTCGTCCTGCATGCTATAGAATGGAGGATAGGGTGCACGCCATTTTACAATGTAGACGTCCTAACTTCATGGCCTAACATTTGAGGCAATACAAATATTGATAAATAGTAAATATAAAGAAATAGTAAAAATAAATTAAAGAAAGAAAGCAAAAAAAGGGGAGCCTGATGTGGGGAGCCACGTGAGTAAGAAAATTGTGAAACTACCAGAAAACTAGTACATAAATCCAAAAATTGTGTAGTAAAAATATAAAACCATTTTAGGGCCTAAGTAGGGAATTGAACCCAGCGCCTTCGGACTATAAGCTGGATACACTAATATTACGCCATTGTAGCTTGTATTAATCGATTTTTCTACAACAAAAACCTAAATATTTGAATATTAACTTTACTTTTTACTTGTTTTATGTTGCAAATTGATTAACTCAATATTTGCTATGCTATTTTTCCTATTATTGTAACAATGTAAGTTAAATAAGGTATTTATGGAATGCAATCCAACAATATTTATTTGTAACAGCCACACAGGTCCGTGGCTGAATACCACCGAAGTTACTATGACAGTGTCCACCAAGAGTGAACGGTGACAAGAGACAGATACATATGTTTGTTGTTGTAAGATCTAGGTTAAATTGTAACACATAGTTTTCTTTTAATAAAATCGTGTAAATCAATATTCACAGTCATTACCTAACTATTTTAACTAATACCCACATCAGATATTTCGATTTATATTATACACTGAATTTTAAAAAAATTTATTTTTTTCTTCTTTTATGGAGTTATCGATTTGTGGAGTCAAATTTGCAATTCATACCTGGTTCAATGACTAGCATAACATCATCGTTAGCCAAACAAGCTGATACCGGATACACACCACCTCCCAAGGCCTTTCCAAGGACTAGAATATCGGGCTTGACATTTTCGTAATCTACAGCCAGTCTTTTTCCCGTTCTTCCCAAGCCAGTCTGGATTTCGTCCGCGATCCAAAGAACGTTGTATTTGGTGCACAACTCTCTAACACCTTTGAGGTATCCTTCGTCCGGTACTTTGATGCCAGCTTCACCTTGAATGGGTTCCACCATGTAAGCACAGACTAAGGGATCTTGGAGGGATTTCTACAAAAAAAAATACAGACAATACTTTTGAACATCCCCTATACTTACACAAACTGCATAATTAGTTTCAATGTCGTTATTTGTTTATGGTGAATTTAATAATTATTCATAAAGACATTAAATAACAATAAAATGAAAAGCAAAAAAATGAATTACAGCAGTATTAATCAAATCTTCTTCTTCTTCTTAGCCTTCTGTCGTCCATGTTTGGACATAGGCCTCTCCCAACTCCTTCCATCGGTCTCTATCCTGAGCAACATATTTCCAATTTGTTCCGGCTAGTCTTTTAATGTCATCAACCCATCTCATCTGTGGTCTTCCTCTTGGTCGTTTACTTTCGTAAGGTCTCCAATGTTGTATTGTAGTATTCCAACGTTGGTCTTTCTGTCTAGCAGTGTGGTCCGCGAAGCTCCATTTAAGTTTTGCAATTTTTATTGTTATGTCCTCGACTTTTGTTTTGGATCTTACCCACTCGTTCCTCTTTTTATCTGACAGTCGTATACCTAACATTGCTCTTTCCATTGTTCTTTCTGTTGTGGCTAGTTTATTCATGTTTGCCTTGGTTAAGGTCCAGGTTTGACATCCATATGTCATGATAGGAAGGATGCATTGGTTGAACACTTTGCTTCTCAAGTATTGGGGTATTTTGCGGTGCTTAAGTATCCAACTAAGTTTTCCGAATCCTGCCCATGCTAGTCTTGCTCTTCTAGTAATTTCCGCACTTTGGTTCTCTTTGTCAAGTCTCAGGGTGTGGCCTAGGTAGATATATTCCTGGATTTGTTCTATCTCACTGCCGTTTATAGTTATATGTCTGGGGTCTTCTGTGTTTGTCATTATTTTTGTTTTTTTCGTATTCATTTTGAGGCCGACGTATTGGGAGCTGGCTGCTAGTTCCCCCAACATAATTTGCAGTTCCTCGAATGTGCTTGCTATAATCACTATGTCGACAGCGAATTTGAGGTGGTTTAACTTGTTGCCATTAACTTTAATGCCATAGGTTGAAAAATTTGTAGTTTTGAAGACGTCTTCTAGGGCTAGGTTGAACAGCTTTGGCGACATTACGTCTCCTTGTCTCACTCCTCTCTTAATGGGGATGGGATTTGTATTTTCGTCTAGTTGTACTATCATAGTTGCATTTTCATATATATTATGTATTAGTTGCCTATATCTCGAGTCTATTCTACAATTATTAATAGCTTGTTCTAGGGCCCACATCTCGATACTATCAAACGCCTTTTCATAGTCGACGAAGGCAAGAAATACGGGTAGTTGGTATTCATTTGCCTTCTCTATCAATGTTCTCATTGTCATCAGATTGTCTGATGTACTATATCCTTTGCGGAAGCTAGCCTGTTCAACCGGTTGGTAATTATCCATTTTGTAGGTCAACCGTTTATTAATAATTCTCATAAATAGTTTGTATACTTGACTGAGCAACGATATAGGTATATAATTCTGTAGATCGCATTTGTCCCCTTTTTTGTATAAGAGTATTACTAGACTCTCGTTCCAGTCTTTAGAGATCTGGCTATTATGGAGACATCTATTAAATAGCTCTGTTAGTACAGGGAGTCAAATCAATTAATAATAAAAATAAACTGCACAAAGATCACATAAATGACAATCATCAAACAAAGAAAAAAAGAAGGCTTATATAGAATACCGTAATCAATTGAACATACTTATGAAGGCTACAAAAAAAATTACTTTAAAGAAGAAATTATGAAAAATAATAAATCTAATCGTCAAAAATAGTTATTTTAAACTTAAATTGTGGCTTATTCGCAATAAAAATGGTAATTACGCGAGTACTTTTTGTACAACTCGGGTAAGCACTTAAAAATGTTCATGATATGTTTTTCAATGACACTGAGAACGAGTTTGTAGAAAATTTTTGGCCAGAAATTCATACATGACGAGGTGGCGTTCAAAAAAGAATTTGTCACAATAAATCACATGTTGAGATTTTGGTGTTATTTGAAAACTTATTTTGGACCCCACATGTTAGTAAATAAAAGTATGATCAAAACGAATTTTGTCGTGTGGATTTTCACATATGAAATATAGGTAGCGGAACAAAACAAGTTTTGTCCACCATAAGTAGTTAATCAGAGAAGGTATAGTCACAACCAGCCAATCACAGAACAGCATTCGCCCTATCTATGATGATCTGTTGTTTGAGGTTAGGAGTTTTCACAATATTTTGTTCAGCTTCATTTTTACCGTGTCGCAGAGCTAGTAGTGTTTAATTTAATATCAATTAAGATGAGTGAAGATATTGATGACTCTTTTAAAAGTGTGGAAGATGGAAATGATGGCTCTAGGAAGAGGACTATAAATCCACGAAAGAGAGAATTGGCAAAGAAGAAAAGACTAACCCAACCTAAAGGTTACAATACCTTCAACCCGTGCTCACATTCATCTAAAAGGTTTTCGTGTAAAAGCTTTATTCCCAGTGATTTTTCTCATGTGAGGAAAAACTTGCTATCTGTGCCCAATAAAACTGCTCAGGACAACTTCATTTCAAGTCAGGTGTCCCTTCAAAACATCAAAAGTAGAAGGCCATGAAATACAAGCAACGAGACACGGCCTAACTCTTGTTCTGTCGAGTACACTTTGATTAAGCAAAACACAAAATTATCAAGGTATGTAAGAAGTTGTTTATGTCAGTGATGATAGTCAAACCTACCAGATTAAGCAGCATCATAAAATGTATTCGTAAGGGGAACATCTAAACGAGAATAGGGGGGACCGCAAATCAGCGAAGACAGCTGGCAAAAAAGCGCGTGTAAGAGATTTCATTAAAAAGTTAAGAGGTAAATAAACACATTATTCTAGATATAAATCAAAGCGCATCTATTTGGCTATGAAAAAAGAAGAGTCTGGTTCACTCTTTATGTGCTTCGACTTACAGCAGATTCAACCGTTACCAAAATCACCGATTCAAAAAGCGTATTACTCTAGGCAAATTGGATTATACTGTTTCTGTGTTGTTGGAATTGACGGAAAGAACCTGACATTTTATATGTAGACAGAAGATGAAGCTGGAAAGGGTTCTACTGAGGTCTCTTCAGCTCTTTTGCAACACATTTAAAGCCTTGATCTACCTGAAAATGTTACATCAATCAAACTTTTGTGATGGGTGTGGTGCTCAAAATAAAAACAATTTCGTTTTGCATACAATTATGCTCTTTTTGATCAAAACTAAGTCCAAAGTAACAGACATCACAATTACATTTCCTGTGAGAGGACACAGCTTTCTTCCTGGACTGAGTGTTTGGACGAGTGGAAAAATCGTTGCGTAAACAGCCAACTATCATCTACAAAGAAACCTACATTGATGTATACAAATCAGTTGGAACAGTAAAACTACTGGGAGAAGATTGGAAACTGTTTGACACCAAAAGTCTTTCATCAACAGAAAAAGGCTGCTTTAGGAGTCTGGACGGTATCTCAGACTGCAAGAGAATTTTCATAAAAGGAGAATTGTTAACACAAACTAACTCTTGGTCAGAGGCCTAAAGAACTTTGTGTTTGAATGTGAGAAGGAGGCATGGAAATCTCACATTCACAAGAAAAGTTGGCCTGCTAAAAAATGCGCCTTATTAGAGATAGACGAGTTGACACTCGGTCACAGCATACCTCCAGCCAAAAAGAAAGATTTTGACAAGCTTTTGACGCAGATCTTTGGGGAAGCATGGAAGGACGATCAAACACTATATTGGTATCTTCGTGTCGTTTCTAACAACGTCCCTGGAACAGAAGAAGCTGACCATGATGAAGAAAACTGACTGTTTAGAGGAAGATGATACTACCTGTACTTACATATGGAGCTCAAACCTGGATATCCACTAAAATAAACATGGAGAAGATCAGAAAAACTCAGAAATCTATGGAACGACTGATGCTGGGTATCTCACTCAAACACTATAAAACCGATGAAGACATTCGTAATAGAACAAAAGTAAAAGAAGCTGTTGAACAGGCAGCTAAATTGAAATGGAAATAGGCTAGACATAACGAATGACTTAAAGATGGCCGATTGAATAAAGAAATCGGGAATTGATATGAAGCCATATGAAGCGACGATATTAAAAGGACCAATGGTGTCGATAGAAGTCGAATTAACCACTTTGTCAGCAAAGTTCTCGAATTCTTCATCTGTATTTTTCTGGAATCTCGTGTTAAAGTTTCGGTGGTTGACGCTGATTCAGCGTTAGTACCTTCTACGGAACTCTAGTAACAGATGTTCGTGTATATAAACTGCTGGACTCCTTTGAATAAACAGTCATTAGATAAGTGTTTTTGTAAGTGATACCCATGTCATTGTCGACGATAAGTATTATTGTATTTATAATTATTAATGAGATATTTGTTATTTAGTGAGTCTATTTTGTAGTTAAGTGAGTTAAATAAAATTCCTGAACCTACAGAAGAACGTAACAATATCTTCTGCTTTTTATTGCTATTTATTGATCTTTATAACAATAGAAATAATTGTCCCTTCTCAAATATTTCCCTACATATATTTATACACAAATACTATCTTTATTTGTTTAATGAGTACTTCTTTGCCTCTAATCTTCTTTTTTTGGCTCACACACGAACTTAACCTAATATAACCTAACCTAACTAATATTGTTAGTAAAATAATTGTACTACATTTACCTCTAAAGCTTTCAAATCGTTGTAAGGTACGCAGCTGAATCCCGGTAGAAATGGTCCGTAGTCTTCAAAGCATAAAGGATCTGTCGATGAGGAACATGCAGCTAATGATCGTCCCCAAAAATTATCCACGGCAAAAATAATCTTTGCTTGGTCCTTGGCGATTTTCTTTTTCCTGTAGCCCCATTTTCTAGCTAGTTTACAAGCCGTATCTCCTGCCTCAACACCTAAAATGTAATTTACCCTAAGCGTGATATTGATAAAGATAAATAAGAATGTAGGAACAATTAAAAAAGTGCATCTAACCTGTATTCATAGGCAATAATTTGTCGTATCCAAACAACTTGGTGATCACTTCAGCATATTGGCCCAACTGGTCTGAAAAGAAGGCTCTGGAGGTGTGATGCAAAACGGCGCTTTGTTCGTGTAATGCCTTTAATATTTTGGGATGACAATGTCCAAAATTATTGGCTGAGTAGCCGCTTAAGAAGTCGAAATATTTTTTACCTTCCACGTCCCAAACAAAGACACCTAAAACAATAATAAATGTACAGCGCATTATAGTTATCGTATTCACTTCAATACGATACGCATAATAAATTGAAGATAAGTGTAATGAGACTCTAGGCAAGAACAAGAAAAAAAGGTGTAGGTAATGATTACGAAAATGACATCAATTGTAATTGAAGAAGTGGATACCAAAAGGTCATAAGTCAAAAAAGTTAATTTTTTAGGAACGAATTTTTTCTGTGTTTAAGAAAGAATATAATTAAATGTTACTTTGAAATAGAATCAGTCATGTAATTTGCAGATTTAAATTCTTGTTTTAAGACAATTGAAAGTAAGAAACAAAATCATGGCTTTTAAGAAGTTAAACATTTGGTTTTTTTTTTCAAAACGACCTGTCACTGACTTAAGCACTTTTGGAAAATTCATGTGCGAGACAGATTCATATTATTATTCATTTGTAAGTTTATCGATAATCAGAGCTTATCTTTAAGATGTCATCAAAGGTTTAATAACTATCTAAGTACATAATTAAAAATTAATTTTTATTAATTTGAAAAGTAAAGTTTAATAATCTTTCGAATAAAAAGCTCTACTTGATCATACACTACAGTGTTATTATCGTTGGAACCATTTTACACATTGGTAAGTCCAGTATTATAAAAGTCTTTTGAACTTTCAGATAATGAAATAAGTTTGAGAAGGTTTTCCACATCTTTTTTCTTCTTTTCATTTGCATGATTCACTAATGACACAGACTTCACTGTACTGTACACTCCCAGCTAATTGCGACCTTTTTTTATAACTTTAAAAGTACTAAAATCACCACAGTAGGTATTTTTAATTTCATTGTCTTTATTACTTTTATTTGAAAATGAAAAAACTCGTTGTTCACGCATCAAAAAAGTGTGCTTCTTCAATAAAACTCGTTTTGCAGCATGGCAGAACGCTATCATTTAAAGAGCATTTAACAAAAACTTCCCAAAAGTTGAGTACAAGAAATAACATTATACAGAAGCTCTGCGGTACCACCTGGGGAGCATCGGCTTCCACTCTCTGCTATACTGCTTTAGCCGTTGTTTTCTCAACCGCTGAATATTGTGCCCCAGTTTGGCTACACAGTCCACACGTAAAAAAGGTCGACACTCAGAAGCACTATGAGGATGATAGCTGGTACAATTAAATCAACTCCCACCCAATGGCTTCCAGTATTAAGTCACATTCCACCTTCACATTTACGAGTAGTTGACGCACTTACACGTAAATACAAAAAGATCATGCACAATATAAACCTGCCGATCCACCAAGCTACCGAGGATGCACGAAATACCCGTCTACGTTGTAGAAAACCACCAATGAAAACGGCAAGAATGATACATGAGGAGTTCAACATCACGAGTGCATGGTCCCAAGAATGGAATGCATGGCAAAATAACATGCCCTGCATTATCCACAAACCACCAGGTTTTGATCTTCCACGTAAAACATGGTCCACTTTAAACAGGATCCGAACCAGACATAGCAGATGTGCATATATGCTACATAAATGGGAAAGAATCCGTCTCCTCAATGTGATTGTGGGAAGAACCAAACGATCGATTAGCACGCCTTCGACGGATGGGACATGTAATTAGGCGAGATGAAGATGCAACGATCAGACAAATTGTCGACCAAAGAGGACCAGTGGGAAGACTATCCAGAGGAAGACCAAAACTTAGGTATCGAGATAACATAGAGGATGATCTAAAATCCATCGGAGTTAAAGCATAGAGAAGAGTTGCCAGAGACAGGGGAGAATGCAAGATTGTTCTGAAGAAGGCTTTGGCTAATAACACGCTTTAATGCCACTGATGATAATGATGAGGTCACGTGGTCGATAAACCTTGCAAATTAGACAGAGATGCAGGGACTGCTTTGCGTCAGTTTTTGCTGTCGCGCTAGGGGATCGCGACTTTATGGCAGCAGTCAGTCTATTTTTATTATATATCTATGAACAAAACCAATTAAAACATAACCTCTTATCCTAATCACTATATTTACCTTGTCCTTTGGGTAAAGCTACTGGTAGTGGGTGATAGTTATGAGCAGCATATTTTGCTTCCTTGTCAAAGACTTCCTGTGAAGTGAGTGTCCTTTTTTCGAGTAGTTTTATACACCGTTCGAGATTTTTTGATAGTCTTGTAGCTCTTCTATACGAGGGTAACATTATTTATCTGAAAAACAAACACCATTTAAGAAATAAACCACAATGACCAGAATGTAAACAACAAAATTCTCTTTTAACTCCTACAAGTAGAGTTGTCAAGAAAAATACAATAAATCAAAGAATGGAAAAGAAAAGTATTTTTGAAGTGTGAAACATTTATTTCCCATATGAGTTCTTTTAACTTACAAAGACATCTTCAGAGCTATGCTATAATATAACTTTGATATAAGTAACTTATTTAAAGTTTACAATGTTTCACTTACGTTAAGTTTTTAAAGTATCACTACTTGAAGAAATCTCATTTGTTAAAAAAATTACAGAAATTTTCTTTTCAAGTTGGTTTCATGTTAGAATACATAGCATCATAATGAAGTTGAAAATTGACTGAAGGTCAAAGTAGGTTCAAATGCACCTATGTGTGTAGATGCAAATGCACCCCCCTGAAAAGAAGATGCACCCCCTGAAAATACTCCTGACGGCACCCATGGTGGTGTTTATTTTTATGCATAACATTTTAATCGTGAAGTAAAAAATAATGTTTTTGCGATTAGATATTTAAGGTGACCCTGTATTGCACATACAAATTTAAAATTTCTAAAACTCATGCACACTTGTGTGAACCATTATCATTAATTTTAATTGGAGGGAAACATACTGATAACACAGACCAACTGAATTTAAAAAAAAATTGCTGGTGAGGTAATAATAAATTTTGCGCCTATTTAAAAAACGAACTTTGATAAAATGAAAGGCAGATGTCGAGCAGTTTTATTAATTTAATCTTGCCCAAGTACTTTCGCTTCCAAGAGCATCTTCAGGGGAATTTCGTCAATTTTGAGCTATCCAACAATCACGAAATGTCATAAACATAACATTAAAAAAATTATTCAAAAAATAGTCGAAGCTACATTCTGGTCTGACTACATTCTGCCAATCTGGTTTGCCACTGATTGGCAAAATTAGGCTCAGGCTAAAGAAGGTTAGACGTAGTGTCAATCCAAAATTCGACATCAAGCTATTAAAAGACCAACACACAGAACATAGTGTAAAGCGGTGTATACAGAACAATTTGAATACCGTTATTCAATCGGATGTAATGGACCAGGAGCTAGAAAAGTTACATACAGTTTCAAAAGACATACGAGAGAAATTTCTCAAACCACCAAAAATAAAGAAGAAATCGTGGATGACAAATGAGATTCTAGATATGATGGAAGAGGGCGAAAGTTCAAAAATCAAGACATGTCATTATACAAAAGAATCGATAAATAGATCAAAAAATCTATTAGAATAGCTAAGAATACACATCTAAGAAAACATAGTTACATACAGTTTCAAAAGACATACGAGAGAAATTTCTCAAACCACCAAAAATAAAGAAGAAATCGTGGATGACAAATGAGATTCTAGATATGATGGAAGGGGACGAAAGTTCAAAGATCAAGACATGTCATTATACAAAAGAATCGATAAAAAGATCAAAAAAGCTATTAGAATAGCTAAAGATACACATCTAAGAAAACAGTGTGCGGAAATACAGCAATTGCAACATAAACACGATTCATTTAATATGCACAAAAAAGTTAAAGAAGCCGCAGGCTTATACAAACCTAGAAGAGTTGGGTGTTTGGCAGATAACCAAGGCAAACCACTGTTAACTGTGGAAGAAAAGCTAGACACTTGGAAGAATTATGTGTAAGTAACTGTTACAGATGAAAGGCAGAATACGATTGAAGACACTGAATGCCAAACGGGACCCCCCATTACCATTGAAGAAGACACGTCAGCTATTAAAAGATGGCAAAGTGGTAGGGCCTGACGAGTTTTGTGCAGAATTCCTAAAACTTATGCATGAACAAGGAATAAAATGGATAACAACTGTATTTAACAACATATACATAACTGGAAAAATACCCCAAAGCTGTAACCATACCAAAAAAAGTAAATGCCAAGACATGCGAAGACTACAGAACAATTTGCCTAATGAGCCACTTACTTAAAACGTTCTTGAAAGTGATACACGGCAGAATATATAAAAAATGAGAAGAACAAGTATCATGGACGCAGTTTGGATTCCGGGATTCCTTAGGCACCCGAGAGGATCTATTCGCTGTCCAAGTGCTTATGCAAAGATGCAGGGATGTTAACTGTGATGTTTATATTTGTTTTATCGGCTACAAAAAGACACTTGATAGAGTAAAGCATGATAAACTTATAAACATCTTGAAAGAAGTGGGGTTAGATGATAGGTTTGAGAATCATTTATAATTTATATTACAACCAAACAGCCAATATTAAAGTGGATGACCAATTGACAGAGACAGTCTCCATAGATAGAGGAATGAGGCAAGGATGCATTCTGTCCCCGGTGTTATTTAATATATACTCTGAATATATCTTCGAGCAAGCGCTGGGAGAACTACAAGAAGGCGTATTAGTCAACAAAATACGTCTAAACAACATTAGATATGCCGACGACGCAGTAGTTTTTGCAGATAGTCTGGACGGTTTGCAAAGAATAATGTCGCGTATATCAGATACAAGTAGAGAACACGGACTTGATCTAAATACGAAGAAAACAAACTACATGATAGTCAGTGAGCGCGAAATATTAAATACACAGCTTTTGGTTAACCAACATCCAATTGACAGAGTGGACAGCTACACATACCTTGGTACCAACATTAACAGCCAAGGGGATCACTCCAGTGAAGTAAAACAACGCATAGGAAAAGCGAGATCAGCGTTCATAATGATGAAGTCTCTTTTTAGAAGTCACGATTTACCATTTGCTACCAAAATCTCTCTCATTAGATGCTATGTATTTTCTACGTTATTATACGGAGTAGAGGTCTGGACACTTTCCGAAGCTTCTTTAAGAAAACTCGAGGCATTCGAGATGTGGTGTTACAGACGTATTTTAAAAATTTCATTGGTGGATTGTGTGACTAATGTTGAGGTCCTACGGAGAATAGGCAAGGAATGCAAGATTATTAACACCATCAAAGAGCGCAAACTAGAATATATTGGCCATGTTATGAGGAATGAACAGAGATACGGTTTGTTGCAACTCATTCTTCAGGGCAAGGTATTTGGAAAGAGAGGACCAGGGAGAAGAAGAATATCTTGGCTTCAAAACTTGGGAAAGTGGTTTAATACATCGACAACCGGACTATTATATCAGAATAGCAGCAAGCAAAGTTAGGATAGCCATGTTGATCGCCAACATCCGGAACGGATAGGTACTCTAGGAAGAAGAACATTCTGGTCCGCAACAGGAGGGAGAATGATTCTGTCGGCACTGGTATAGAGGTTTTCCGACTGATAATGAACATCACGAGATTCAGAAATTTACTAAGGTGCATGCGAACTGATGATATCAATACAAGGCATGATAGAGTTAGTTTGAGTAAATTAGCGCCAATAAGAGATCTTATTACCAAGTGGAATGAAAATCAGAAAAAAATGGTTCTCTTATTTGCAATACGTAACCGTGGACCAAAAGTTGGTCCGTGATACGGTGACCGGTGATACGGTATAAAAATATTTGCACTGTCTGATGCGAAGTTATTTTATACCAGTAACATGGCAGTATACGTTGGCAAAAACCAAATGGGTGGTCCATACTGTCTAGATACTAGTACCAAGCCAGTGGCGGAACGGACCTGTCAACATCTCTATGGATCTAAGAGAAATGTTACCACCGACAATTGGTACACCAGCGTTGATCTTGGTATAAGCTTGAAGGAAAATGGTTTAATCTTTGGGGAACAATAAAAGTAAATAGAAGAGAAATTCCTACATATTTATGTAACAATCAAGGACAACCTATTGGCTCTAGTACATTTGGGTTTAGTTCAAGAGGAACACTAGGTCATATAAACAAAAAAAAAACAAAAAACGTTCTGTTATGTTTCACTATGCAGCACGGAGAGGACGTTGATAATATAACTGGAAAACCGGAAATCATATTAGCATATAAAAGCACAAAAAGCGGTGTTGATACCGTAGATAAACTATGCGCACAATATTATGTACGTTGTAGTAGAAGATGGCGTATGGTTGCTTTGTAGAGCCTTTTAAATGTTACAGCAATAAATTCCTTTGTTATTTACAATTGTCACATTTCAAATTCCACAAAGACCAGACGAGAAGTTTTAGCAGTTAGCCTTAAGTCCTTATGTACAACCACCAGAAGAATCGAAGCCAAAATGTCTATATACCCAAGACAATAACGCTAAGCGCACACACATCGAATTTGGACGGTCGATAAAAGTTCGACCGAACAAATTCCTTTGGTGGCGCGAAGAAACAAATGTGAGCGGGCACACACACACACACATCGATCGCCAAACGGCACGGTATCGATGTCGTGTGATGGTCGTATGGCGATCGATGAATGTCACTGCATTCACGGCTGCCGTGGTCGTTGCCGTCGTTCCAAGCCGTATAGTATCAAATGACCGCGCGCACACGCATCGATCTTTATCGACCGACCAGAGGACCAGTTGCGTTTTTTTGACACTGCTCAAGGTACGTCGCTCCGTGTTGCTACGTGGGTCGGTGTTGCGCATTGTGATTTTGTGTACTCCACCTAACAAACCTTTGTGGATTAAAAAACGTCATCGAATAAATATCGTGTAGTGTGCGCGCAAGGCATCATCGACAAAAGTTCGGTCGAACTTTTATCGACCGTCCAAATTCGATGTGTATACGCCTAGCCTAATATACGACTAAACATATTCCTATTCTACGATCGAAATCTTGATGGTCGTTTATTGAAATGGTGAAAAAAAACACGACGCTATATAATTTACAATAAGCCAACTGGATGCACTACGACCAATTCATACTCGTATTACGTAAAACAAATCTGATAAAAATATACAGTAATTAGTTTGAATTATAATGAGCAATTGGGAAACAGACTGATAATAAGCCTATAAAAATACAGCGGCCGACTCTGTTAAAGATAATAAAAATAAGGAACATAAAATCTAATCGTTT